TTCACAAACCAAACTGAACAAGAACCAAATCAGATTTCCCCATAAGGTCAACATTGAACTTAACCATTGAATTGATTTGGCTGTCATCCAATTTGATTGGAGACCCTAATCGTGGAAAGAATTACGTTCATGAACCAAGGTACCACTGTACTTCCTGCTCAAGCTGGCCACAGCAGGCCCTAGAGAACAGTAGCTTACGTTCCATCTGCCTGTAGAAGAGCGCCCTATTGTTCCTGCCTTTTATCTTTCTCCAAACCTGTGTTTTTTCTGGAAAGGCCCATGAATTCACAGTGTCTTTTAATTTAAAAATACTACCAGTGTGGAAGTTTGTCTTTCTATTTTTTTTAACCTAAAAGAAGTTCATTAGTCTACAGGTCTGCACAAGCATTTGTTAGCCTTCATAGAAATCATGCTACCTTTCCTCTTGGGTACTAAGAATTTAGCCCATTCTAGTGCCCCTCTAGCTTGTGGGTGAGGGGAACAATCTCATTGTCTGTTTGTCAGGATCATTATCTAGGTGTCTTCCACTAAATTCAGGTCCCTTTGACAAAGAGACTATATAATGTCAACTGTCACCTTGTAACCAAGGCTCTTCAACCTCACTCTGAGTACCTACTAATTCCTTAGGTAACTGCCTTCTGAGCTTCATAACTTGCCTACCTTTCGCCCACTAGTTTTATTTTGGTTTTTTTTTTTCTTTGGTTTTTCTCCGGTACCAGGAACCGAACTCACAACCTTGTGCTTGCCAGGCAGGTACTTTTGCCGCTGAGCTAAATCCCCAGCCCCTCGCCCACTAGTTTTAGAACACTAGTTTCCAACCACTCTGTGTTCCACATCTACAAAGAAGTGAGCTAGGGAGGGGGCGCTGCATGACCCCAGGACCCCTACTCTTTTGTTTGTTTGGGTTTTTTTGTTTTGTTTTTCCGGTACTGGGAATTGAACTCACCACCTTGCACTTGCCAGGCAGGCGCTGCACCACTGAGCTAAATCCCCAGCCCCTCCTACTCTTTTTTTTTTTTTATTTTGAAGAAAATAGTACCCCCAAAAAAAGAACAATAGCAAAATATAGACAACACAAAGCAAGGACATTAAAAATGATACAGGGTTTCAAACCAAATGATAGAGATTAACAGTGGTTGTTATATTACGTATTGTTATCTTCAACGAAGTTGCTCAGATCACCAGATGTAAGAATAGAAGATTGATCAAATCATTAAAGGGAATAAGAAAATAATAATTTAAAAGAACATCAGAGACAATATGTAGTGTCACTAGGCAGGATTGTAGGAATTCACCAATGAATATTACACTGCAAATTGTTGTTGTCACGTAAGTTGCTCAGATTACCAGATAGAAACATGCAAAATTGGTCAAAATATTAAAAAAAAACTTTTAAACATTAACTGTTCCCCTCAGCAAACCATCAGACACCAACAGAACAGTTTCAGCCAAAGAAGCACCATTTTGATCTGCTTTTAATATCAG